CCTAGCCTTAGCCTCTGCCGTGGGCAGGTGAGCTGCCAGCCAGGCTTGGATGCTCCGGCCTCAGGAGCTGGGACTCTGACTCTGAGCTGTGACAGCTCTCTAGAGGGAGCGTCTTCCAGCTGGCTGGCACGGTCTGCTTCCTGCCATGTGGGCAGAGGAGGGCACGCTGCAGGGCCGGGAGACATTCCAGCTGCTCCAGTGGGATTTGAGCAGTGAGACAAAGGGCAGTCCTGGTTCAGAAGCTGGGATAGTTTTCTCCTTCCTAAAATGTCCGTGTTTCCACAACTGGCCTCCTGGGGAGTGTGGGTCAGTCTGACTTTCTATTCTCCAGACCCTTCCACCACAGGGGCCCAGTGAGAAATGTAAACGGACCCTGGTCGTCAGCAGAGGCTCGGTGTGCACATGTCTCAGAGGACATGCCTCGGACTGCTCTGGCCTGGGCAGCCGTCCCCCTGCCACCCACAGGCCTGGCCTGGAGCTGGAACTGGTGGGTGGCTTCTGGGTGTCCACCGTGGACTGTTCTCCAGGAAAGGCGTCTGCCTCCCCACAGCCGAGGCTTCCTGCTCGCCTCAAGGCCAGACAAGGCCTGGTTCCTTGGGCCTCGTTCACAGGCTCTGGCCTTCCCCAACTCCCCTTGGGGTCCCGCATCTTGGCCCCAGGATGCTCGGGGAGGAGGGACAGGAAGAGGAAAGGCAGGGTGTGAAAACAGTGAAGAGAAGGTCAGCAGGAGTGGAAGCTCATGAGGGAGACCCATCTGAGGAAGAACACTGGCAGGACCAGGTTAGGGTGAAAGAACGAAAGCAGAGTCTCCCCAGGCAGGGCTGTGGGCGTGGGAAGTCGGCCCTGTAGACCCAGCTGGTCAGACAGCCAGAGGGCAGAGGCAGTCGCATAGAGACCCGGGCTAGGCTAGTCTCAGGGTGCCCGGTTTAAACCTCTCATTTTTCAAATAAGGGGAAACCGAAGGCCAAAGTGACACTGTGTCCCCGAGAGGTGACACAGGTGGTCAGTGGCAGGGCCAGGGTGAGGATTCAGGTCTTCTGAATCCCCACGGAACCCCGAGGCCTTCCCTGGCTGTACTGACCCATGCCTGCTTCCCCAGGGTTGCTCAGTGCGTGCGACTCCATGCTGTAGGGACAGAGTGGGGCCACACTGAGTGCCTGCTGCCACCCAGCAGGCCTGGGACAGAAGACAGGTACCATCTGACAGAGAAACCTTCTAGGGGGCCAGCAGGTGGCGTGGTGGTTAAGGCACCACGTTCCCACATGGCTAACTAGTTCTAGTACTGGACCGGGCAGCTTAAAATCACACCAGGTGCATGTGCGTGCATGCCCAGGATTTCAGGAGAAGAATGGAAAAGAAGGAACTGCATCTCCGGGAGTGGGGGAGGAGGGCGTGTGTGTGGCCTCTCGCTCTCCGTCTCTCTGCCTCTTCAATGAGCACATGTGCCCTACAGCAAAAACCTCAAAACCCAGCTGTCTGAAGCACTGTGCCCCGCGCCTCCTGTAGGCACATGGGCACATGTGCCTACACTTACACACACACACGCACGCACGGAGGGGCAAGGCAGGGCAGCAGTGGGGGTGAGTCCTGGGGAGCAGGAAGGGGGGCGTCACAGAGGGGATAAAGGGCCCCTCTGTAAATGCGAGCCCTATTGGCCCAGGGCCGGCGTATGAAGCACTCGGGGCCATCGCAGAGAGCCTGGCAGACAGCCATGTGAGGCAGGGGCCTCCTCTCCCTCCTGGCCTCACCGTGAGCCACGCAGACCCAAGCATCCCCACCAGCCAGCCCCCACATCCCTCCCAGGGGCTCCAGATCCCTCCCCGAGCCCCTCCTCACAAACGTCCCTTCCCAGAGGTGGGCCTGGGACCCACCTTAGGGACCAGAACGCACCCACAGTGGCGGCCATGCCTGAGGAGAACCGGTCCTCGCAGAACCTCCGCAGGAAGGACGTCTTGCCCACCGCGGAGTCGCCCACAAGCACGATCTTGAAGAGCCGGTCTGGGGTGGAGGGACAGCTGTTCTCCTGCAGGGGCAGACCGTCAGGTCAGCTGCAGGGCCTGGCCACCAGTGCCCACTCTGCCCAGCGCGGGCCCTGCGCGTGCCTACTGTGGCCCTCAGAGTGGGCACTGGGAGGCCGCTCGAGCCTCAGAATGCAGCGGCTCAGGGCGTGGAGGCTTCTCGGCGTAGCAGCCCAAGAGGGAGAGACCATGAGACAGGCCCTGCCTTGTGCTGGAGCAGAGGAGCGCGCGTGGAAACGGCTAATGACAGCGCGATGGTCAAGCAATGGGAGCAGAGGCGGAGCTGGGGACCCGCTGCGGAGGGAGTTTGGGGCTGAAAGAGGAGGCAGGGATTCTCCAGGGGAGAGCCGAGCTGGGACATTACAAGGAGAGAGAGAAGGAAGGACCCTTATCTCTATCACAGGGGCAGAGACAGCCCAGACTGGCACTGGGTGCATCTTCTTTCTGCCCTACATTGAAAGAGTGGATGGGCCCGTCTCCCCCCAGCAGGTGGTGTGGTGGTTCAGGCTGGACTCCCACATGGTCAACCATGGTTCGAGTCCTGGACCTGGTGGTAACTTGCTTTCTCACTTTCCATTTCTCCCCCCCTCTCTCTGGTGAAATGAAATAATAACAATAACACACGGAAATAAATAAATATATATATTTTAAGAAAGCCTGGATTGGACAGAGGCCACTCTTTGCCTCCTTGCACGTTACTCTTCTGTGCCATCTCAGCTTCCACTTGGCATGGCCGTCTTCCTTGGAAAACTGAGGCAAGACAGTCTACGCAGTGCCTTGGGTGACCCTGTGATGCTGGGCCGCTGGGCAGCACTTCCCAGAGCAGCAGGAGTGCTGATCCTCGTCCTCGGCCCAGGGAGGGAGAGAGGAGGCACGGCTGGCGGTCCTCTGGAGACCTTGGAATCCAGTGCCTTAACCACCACGCCACCTGCTGTCCCACAACTTTTTTAAAGAATTATTTTATTTAACTTTATTTATTTTAATTTGACCAGAGAAGGAGAGAGAGAGAGAAAGTCAGAAAGCAAGATGCCAGGTCTGGGACATGAACCACAGTCAGCCTTGTGGGTGTCCAGTGGCTTGCTTTATCCATTCTCCTCTCAGGAATTGGGCATGAATGCACATGCACCTGGCTTGAGTTTTAAATTGCTGGGTCAGGGACTTAAACCACTGTCAACTATGTGGGAGTCCAGCAACATAGTCGTTATGCCACCTGCTGGCCCACAATTTTGTTTTTAATGATGCAAAATTCACATACAACAAAATGTATAAATTTTAAATATACCAATAAATGAGTTTTGACAAATGCATACAAATCATCTAATACATTATTAGCTTTGTTTAAAGTGAGGGAATGGCAGAAGCAAGCACAGAGGCCCAAATAAAGCAGTATATTTTTATCCCAAAATATCATGATTTGCCAGCCAGAGAAATGGATAAAGCATTGCAAATTAAGAGGATTGTTAAAAAACATCTGCTAACAGAAGCAAAAAGAATGCAATCAAACATAACATTGCGAAAGATTTAAGAATTAAGCAAATCCAGTAAAAGAGAGAAAGATTCTGCTGATGAGGCATCACAAGATAGAGATATACCTTGAAAATGACAAATGGCAAACAAAAGAAGCATCAACTCAGAGTGATTTTGAATGAAAGGCATGTGATTCCATGATATGAGTGAATAACCCTGTGCAATGAATAGCACAAAAAGACACAGCATCTCTGAAAGGATGTATGTAATGCATTCTTTTTTAGAACTGGAAAAAAATATTCTTAACAATCAATTTCTGAAAGGATGTTCTTCAGTCTCTTATCCAGAGAGATAAAACTTACCCAAATCTGTCTAAATAACTAGATTTCACCTCAATATGGAAGCAAAGCATCAGAATTGAAATACGTACGACATGAACATGACATGCATATTGTGGTTATAAAAGAAATAAAGGATGTTGCTAAGAATGTGGAGCAATTAGATCCCCCCCCTTTTTTTAATTAATAGTTATTTCATTGGGACCAGCAGTTGGCATAATGGCTATGTCGCTGGACTCCCACATGGTCAACCATGGTTCGAGTCCTGGACCTGGTGGTAACTTGCTTTCTCACTTTCCATTTCTCCCCCCCTCTCTCTGGTGAAATGAAATAATAACAATAACACACGGAAATAAATAAATATATATATTTTAAGAAAGCCTGGATTGGACAGAGGCCACTCTTTGCCTCCTTGCACGTTACTCTTCTGTGCCATCTCAGCTTCCACTTGGCATGGCCGTCTTCCTTGGAAAACTGAGGCAAGACAGTCTACGCAGTGCCTTGGGTGACCCTGTGATGCTGGGCCGCTGGGCAGCACTTCCCAGAGCAGCAGGAGTGCTGATCCTCGTCCTCGGCCCAGGGAGGGAGAGAGGAGGCACGGCTGGCGGTCCTCTGGAGACCTTGCTCCAGCAGGAAGTGCTAAGCAGCCGCCCCCCAGCACGGCCCTGCAGGCTGCCTGCTCCCGAGCACTCACGCATCAGGCCAGCTCCGCACTGCCCGGCCACGTGAGGCTCTCAGACCTGACTGAAAAGTGGATTTGGAGGAATTAGCTCCCTCTCATTGAGCAAATACTACAGCGGAGTGGCAGCCGGTATTAGCGGTACTCGAGCTTCAGAGAAAGCCATTAACAGCTTTTGGGAGAAATCAATTCCATGCAGTACTTAGAAGGGAATTCAAAGTCAATGACAGGAACTTAAACTGAAACGTAGAAAGCAAACACCCACGTCCACAAACTGCACCCCGCCATTGCTCTTATGCATCGCACAGGGGCTCCGGCCCTCTCTGCTCTCTTGTCTCTGTCTCTGACTCTCACCCTCACTTGCTTGGGATCAACACAACTCGGGGCACTGGCCGGCCACCCCCACGCACAGGTGCTGGTGGGGAATGAGCAGCCCAGGATGGGAGAGGCTGGTCCTGGTGGCGGAGCTGTCTTCTGACCTTTTACCCTGTGACCCACTGCCGCTGCCCTCGCCCAGGCAAGGCGCTTTTTAAGAGGTTTTCTGACTTAGGGCGTGTGTGCTCACAGGGTGTGGGGGAGTGTGGGGGAAGAGACAGTGAGAGGGAAAGCGAGAAATCACCCCCAAGGGAGGATGGCCACGCCGCAATCCCTTCTCCATTCTCTCCCTGGGGTTTTTGGGCACACATGCACACGTGCCTGGTGTGATTTTCAAGCTACCAGATCATGATTCAAACCACAGTCAACCACACGGGAGTCCAGCGATGTAACTGCTATGCCATCTGCTGACCCCGGCACTTTTTTTTTGGCAGACAAAAACCAAACTTATTGGTAGTTCAGCTGCAGGCAGGATCCACCTGGACCTGTTCATGCATTTAACCTACTGCCCCTCGGAGGGCCGGTCCATCTGCTGCTGACAGTGAGACAGCTGGACTGTGAGAGGGGTCAGAGAAGAAACCCTCAGGCGGCAAGTCAGGAGGTTGGTTCTCATCCTCCCTCCACACGTTTTTTTTTTTTTCCTTCATTTAAAATAAGCTTTTCAGATTGGCCCTGTCATGCAGTGATTGAGGGCTGTGCCTTGGGAGCCAGAGTCCACATGATGGACCACAGTTCAAGTCCTGGCCCCAGCAGCTTAAATACACATGTGTGTGCATGCCCAAAATCATGATGGAAGGAGAAATGAAAGAGAAGGGACTGGGACGTGACTCTGTCTGATTAGGGGTGCTTCCTTTCTCTCTTTCTCAAGTGCATACACCCTCTGGAAAAAATAAATACATAAGGGAACAGCAAATGGTTACATCTCTGGACTCTTACATAGTCGCCCGCGATTCGAGTCCCAGACCTGTCAACCTGAAACTCACGCCAGGTACGTTTGCTTGCGTGCCCAAAATCCCAAGAGGAGAATGGAGGAGAAAGGATTGCGGTGTGACCATCCCCCCTGGGGAGTGATCACTCACTTTCTGTATCTGTCTCTCTGTCTCTCTGATGAGGGCATGCGTCCTATAGCAAAAATCTCTCTAAATAAATACATAAATAAAGCAAATGAAATAAACGTTAAGATGGGCAGCAGCTGGTGTGTTAGTTAAGACCCTGGATTCCCACCGTGGTTCAAGTCCCAGACCCAGTGACTTGAAAGTCATGCTGGGCGTGTGTGTGTGTTCCCAAAATCTCAGAAGGAGAACAGAGAAGGGATTGCAGCATGGCTATTCACCCTCCACGGGGGGTGACTTCTCACCTGTCTTCTCTCTGTCTCTCTCTGGCAAGGAACATATGTACCCTAGGGCAAAACCAAAAATAAAAAGGCTTAAAAAAATACATGCTAATTTTTAAAATGAAGAAGGCCAGCCCCGTTGCACAGTGGTCAGGCTCTAGTGTAAGCCAGATCCCACATGGCCGACCATGACTCGAGTCTTGGCCCTGTGAGGTTAGGGGATATGCTGGGTGTGGGTGTGTGTGCGCAGGGTTCCGGCAGGGACGGGGCACAGAGGAAGAACGACTGTGACGTGACTGCACCCCAGTAAGAGGTGGCTCCTCTCTCTCTCTCTTTCTCTGTCCATTGACGCATGCACTCTGGAAATAAAAAAAGAAGAAAAAGAAAAAGAAATCAGAAAACATGGGAAAGTGAGAGAAAAATAATAATTCTTCATAATCTATCGTACTACCCTGCAATGGTCATTTTTCACATTTTGGTGTATTTCTTCCAGTCTTTTTCTATTTTGATATATTAATGTTTTATTTAAAGAGATTTAAGATATTATATTATATAGAGATGTATTATATACTATAACAAAATATAATAAATTGTATATAAATGTCTTTATAATTAAAATACAATACAATTTAATCAAACTTTATCACATATTATTAAATTATATAAATATTTCTGAGTCACTAATGTTTTTTGAAAATGTGATATTTTCTTTGGGGGGGGGGGGAGGTTTTTCTTTTAGGGCTCGCCAGAAAGACAGACAGAGACAGAGAGACAGAAAGTGAGAAATCACCCACCAGGAGGATGGCCACGCCACAATCCCTTCTCCATTCTCCTCTTGGGATCATGGGCACACATGCACATGCACCCGGTGTGAGTTTCAGTCACCGGGTCCGGGACTTGAACCACAGTCGACCACATGGGAGTTCAGCGACATAGCCATTATGCTAACTGCTGGTCCTGAAAATGTGAGTTTTAATAGCTGTATAATCTATTGAACTAATATACTATAGTTTATGCACCTATTGTTCGGCTTTTTTTCAACTGCAATATGTATATTTCAATGATATATATATTATTTTAAACAATATATTACTTAAAATAATACTATTATAAATAATACTTATAATAGCTAAATCTTTGTCTGATTGGAGTTATTTTCTTAGAAAAAAAATTCCTAGAAGTAGAAGTGCTGGTTCAGAGGACATGGTATGACTGAGTTTTTTTAAAGTTCTTTCTTACTTTCACTGAGAGAGAAGAAGAGAGAAAGAGAGGAAGGCAGGCATCCCTAACTGGGTCTTCAGGTCTTGACTGTAGGCTCCCGATTGCGTATCCAGTGAGTACAGGAAGGCTCGGGATGTGAACCCTCGACTGTCCCGTGTGGGGCTAGCACTGCAGAGTATTGTGTCACCCTCTGGTCTCTCCTCTCTCTTTTTCCTCTTTATTTTATAGTTCGTGCTATAGGGTGTGTGCACTTGCCAGAGAAAGAGAGAGGGAAAATGAGAACTCACCCCCTGGGCAGGATGGCCACACCACAATCCCTTCTCTAGTCTCCTCTCAGGACTCTGGGCACACATGCACATGATCCTGGCATGGTTTTCAAGATGACAGGTCCAGGACTCGAACCATGCTGTCAGCCAGGTATGATCTAGCGCCTTAAACTCCGTACTGCCTACAGGTCCATCTGGTCCCATTTTTAGGTTCTCCATTCATATCATCAAAATACCTTCCAGAAGGGTTGCACTAGTTTGAGCCTCACCAGCCTTGTATGGGAAGGCCCACCTAGTGGCAGGCCTCCAAACGGCAGGCTCTGTTTTGAAACCATTATGTGGCTTCTAGTAAATAATTCTGCTCTCTGCTGCAGGTTCTGTTTGCAGCAAATGACAGCACAACCTCTGGGAGACAGCCCAGATGTGAGCGAGCCCAGGGGGAAGGCTGGGCTCCCTGACACTGAGGAGCTGGACTGGGCCAGGCCTCTTCCCTCCACGTTCCCATCTGTCAGCAGGGAGAAGCCACTTCTGATACGCCTCGTCAGATGACTGTAGGATAAGCTGCCACCGCAGATGTGGGAACTTGGCCTTTTTTCTGTACTCCTGTCTCCTACTAATCTCTTGACACTTCTTTCACACTGTGGGGGGAAATCTGGAAGTATTTAAGACCCTGTGTGTCCTGTTGTGAGCAAGGGTAGACCTGCACGTCCGAGGAAGGTGGAAGGGCATGTAAGAGGAGAGGGCCTACCATCTTGGCAGTGGTAAGAGCCCCTGCAGCCTGCTGCCTCACCAGGTGAGGTTTCCACACCAATGTGAAAGGGCCCCTTACCGTAGCCAGGGCTTCTGTTCCAACAGGTTGGCCTCGGGAAGAAGCGGAGGTGACTTCCCCAGGAACAGTCTGCTGCATGTGTCCTGCCACGCCCTGGTCAGAGGGCTCCTCCTCTTCTGGGCATCTGCTCAGTGGCTGCTCTGAGGCACCTTGCAGGAGCTGGGGCAGGGGGTCTTCTTCAATGGAAATGATTCTGCGGAGTGGCCGGGTGGGCAGGCCCCCTGCTCCTGGCTCCCCAGGTCCTGGATCTTCTTCTGCAAGGGGATATCCACTCAGGCCCAGGGAGCTTCTTCTCCTGGGGATGCCAAACACATCTTCTTCCTCCTCTGACTGGCTATTGGGGTGGGGAGAGCGTCATAAACTACATGGACATAGAAGCTGGAGGGCTGCCCGACAGCTTTCACAACAAAAGGTGACCGACAAGCATCACTTGGGTGGGGAAAGAGTTCTGAGGAGAAGGCGGCAAAACCAAACAGACGTGGAATTCTCTACCTTGTGCTCTGATCTGCCTGTCCATGGTACCTGGTGGTGGCACTCTTGAGATGATGACGAGGGGACGACGCTAATTACCACGAGTATCACCCAAAGACACCGTGAATGAGGGACACGGCCCCCATCCCATGGAATGATTGGCAAGGTGCTGGCGGGGGCGGGGCACTACCACAGTGGTGACACAACAGTGCTGCGGAGGAGAAGCTGAGGCCGGGAAGGAAGGTGTGCCGAGACTTGCAGTACCAGTGCCCTGGCCTCAGCGCTCGCCCAGCACCAGTCCTGATTGGCCGTGCCCTTAGGTAAGACACGCCAACTCCTCAAGCCTGTTTCCTCACCAAAAATGTGGCTCAGCTCCCTTGCCTATTCACAAGCAAGACCAGGCATCAAAACAGATGTGTTTAATTTGCAGAGCTAGGAGCAGAGGGAGAGCTGGCTACCCAGTTGCCTTTGCTCACCAAAAGGCCCCTGCCCGGTTTAGGGTGAAGAAAGAGGGCTGTTTTGGCTTCAAGACACCCCCCCACCCCCCGCCACCCTTGATCCTGCAGTTGCAGAGCTAGAAGCTCAGCCCTCAGCCACACAGGGACTAAAAGACCTGGGTATATAGGAGCCAAACATCTGAATGCTATGAGGCTCTGGAGGAACCCTCTCCCCACACCGAACCCACCAGAAAAATGAGAGCAACTCCTCTTTGTAAATCTGAACCCAAGACTCCCACTGTGGATACTACACTGCCACCCAAGGTAGAACAGGAAACTGGTACCGAGCTAATTCACAACAAAGGAAAGTTAATGAGCACACAGTTACAGAAACCTACTCTAAAGAATTAGCAAAAACTGGGACCAGCAGGTGGCATGGTGATTAAGGCGCCGGACACTCCCACACGGCTGACCACGGCCCAAATCCTGGACCTGGTGGCTCGCTTTCTTACTTTCTCTCTCTCTTGTCAAATTAAAACAAATGAATGAATAAAAATAATTAAATAAATAATTTTAAAAAAAGAATTAGCAAGAAGTGAGTATATCACCAAATGACTAAAAAGCACAAGAACTACGAGAAAACAAGAAAACACTTCCTTTCCTCCATGAGAACACAATACCTCATCACCAACGGTGGCTACACCACAGGAAATCAACCAAATGCTAGAAAAAGAAGTCAGAATATTTATTATAACTAAACTCAATGAGATGCGAAAGAAAACAGACAACCCATTCTAGGAGATGAGCAGATACTCTAAAAAAAGAATCAAATGGAATTTCTGGAGATAAAAAATATGATTCAGGAAATCAAAAGCTCCCTCAGAAGTATTTACTGCAGATTAGACCATGCGGAAGAAAGAACCTCTGTCTTTTTTTTTTTTTTTGAGAGGTTTTCGCTACAGGGCGCATGTGCTCGCCAGACAGACAGAGAGAGACATAGAGACAGAAAGCGAGAAATCATCCCCCAGGGGGGATGGTCACGCCGCAATCCCTTCTCCTCCATTCTCCTCTCGGGATCATGGGCACGCATGCACATGTGCCCAGCGTGAGTTCTAAGCCACCGGGTCCGAGACGCGAACCGGAGTCGACTACGTGGGAATCCAGCGACATAGCCATTAATGCTAACTGCTGGCTCCCAAGAACCTCTGACTTTGAAGACAAAATTTCTGATTTAGTCCAAGCAACTGAGAAGAATGGAAAAATAGCCGTTAAAAATGAGGTCAACATATGAGAAATCCTAAACACCATGAAATAGCCAAATATTTGCATAATGGGTATTCCAGAAAGTGAAGAGACAAGTAAAAGCTTAGAAAATCTCTTTTGTAATATATCAGCTTAAAAAATTTCCAAATTTAGAGAAGCATACAGAAACACAAGCTGGGGAAACACAAAGACCATCACATAGATTTAACATAAGAAGGTCCTCTCCAAAGCACATTGTAGCCAAAATGGTAAAAATTAAAGACAAAGACTATTATAAACATGACAAGAGAGAAATGTCAAGTTACTTATAAAGGTTACCTATGACACTAATATAAGACCATGCAACTAAAACAATGCTGGCAAGGAAAAAGTGGGAAGACATACTTAAAACTCTGAAAGAAAAACAAGTTCATTCAAGAATATTATACCCCGCAAGATTATCCTTCAAATGAGAAGGATAAAGAAAATCATCCCCAGATAAACAAAAGTTGAAAGAAATCACCAAAAGTAGTCCAGCTCTTCAGGAAGTACTTAAGGGAATGCTCTGCCTGGAAAACTAAACATAGAAAACTGAAAGTAAGAAAATATTAAACAACCAGAAAAAAATAAAAAAGAAGAAAAGACTAACAAAATGACCGGTATAAGTCCACACTTATCACTAATACTATTAAATGTTAATGGATTAAACTCCCCAAATAAAAGACACAGATTAGATTGGTCAATGGAAAACAAACAAACAAACAAAAACAGGAACTTTCTATATGTTGCTTACAAGAAACACATCTCATTGACAAAGATAAACAAGACTGAAAGTAAAAGACTGAAAAAATTTGTTTCATGAAAATGGAAATAAAAAAAAGAAGAAGTCACAATATTGATATCAGACAAAATAGACATTAGGATATAAAGGGTAAAAGAGACAAAGAAGGACACTACTTGCTTCTAAAAGGATTAATTCACCAAGAAGATATTACAATCATAAATACTTATGCACCCAATGCCAGGGCACCCAAATATGTAAAAGAAATTCCGCTAGATCTAAAGGAAGATATAGACTACTAATTGTTGGGTATTTCAACACCCCACTGTCACCAATGGACAGTCCATCTAGACAAAAAATAGACAGAGACACAGGAACTAACCGATAACCAGAAACTAAATGGACCTGACAGACCTATGTAAATCACTCCACCAAGAAATGACAGAAGACACTATTTTCTCCACATGGAACATTTTCCTTTTCTGTTTTTTAAAGATTTATTTTATTTTATTTTATTCATTCATTTATTTTAACTTGACCAGAGAGAGAGAGAGACAGAGAGAGAGAGGGAAAGTGAGAAATCATGCTACCAGGTCCAGGCCTTGAACTGTGGTCAGTCATGTGGGAGTGTCCAGCATCTTAACCACCACACCACCTGCTGGTCTCCATCCACATGGAACATTTTCAAAGACTGGCCACATAATAGGCCCTAAAACAATTCCTTACAAATTAAAAAATATAGAAACTATACCCAGCATCTTCTCTGACCACAATGGAATTAAACTTGAAATCACCACAGAAAAAGCCCTTGAAAATACACAAAAATGTGGAAACTAAACAACCTATTCTTGATCAACTTTCAAACAACTGAAGTTAAAATATTTATAGACCCCTATGATAATGAACACACAACTCTCCATAACCTTTGGGAGTCAGGGAAAGCAGTCATAAGAGGGAAGTTTGTGGCCATTAGTGCGCATAAGGAAAAAATAGAAAGGTGGAAAACAAATAACATTGCATCTTAAGCAACAACCACCCCTCCTCCAAATAACAGAAGAAAAAAATAGTAAAGATCAGAGGTGACATAAATGATACAGAGGATAAAAGAACTATACAAAAAAAGTCAACAAAACAAAAAGCTGTTTTTTAAGGGGATAAACAAACTGAAAATCATTAACTAGACTAATCAAGAAAAACAGAGAAAGGAGCCAGATATATAAAATCAGTAACAAAAAATATATAATATATATACTGATATACCAGAGATTCACACAATTATGACAGAATACTATGAGAAACTATATGCCACAAAACTAGAGAACCTAGACGAGATGGACAAATTTCTGGTCATGAATAAGTCTCCTAAGCTGAATCAGGTTGAAATTTTAAAAAATTGAATAGACCAATAACAAGTGATAAGATTGAATCAATAAATAATAATCTCCTAACAACAAAAAAAGCCCAGGTCCAGATGGCTTCACTGTTAACCCCAATTCTCCTCAAACTATTTCTAAAGATTCAAAGGAAGGAACCCTCCTAAATTCATTCTATGAAGTCTTCATCATCTTGATACCAAAGCCAGATAAGGATATAACAAAAAAGAAAACTATACATCTATATCCCTGATGAATACTAATACAAAAATTCTCAACAAGGGACCAGCAGTTAGCATAATGGCTATGTCACTGGACTCCCACGTAGTCAACCGCAGTTTGCGTCCCGGACCTGGTGGCTTAGAACTCATGCTGGGCGCGTGTGCATGCGTGTTCAAGATCCCAAGAGGAGAATGGAGGAGAAGGGATTGCAGCATGGCCATCCCCCCTGGGGGGTGATTTCTCGCTTTCTATCTCTCTGTCTCTGTCTGTCGGCGAGCGCACGCACCCTATAGGAAAAAACCTCTCCAAAATTAAAAAAAAAAATCTCAACAAGATACTAGCAAACCAAATCCAATAGCACTTTATGAAGACCATACACGATAATCAGGTAGGCTTTATTCCAGGAATTCAAGAAGATTCAACATACACAAAATGATACATGTAACATATTACATGAAGAGAAAGAAGGATAAAAACCATAACATCATATCTACAGATGCATAAAAAGCATTTGATAAAATACAATATCCCTTCATGATCAATGCACTTAGTAAAATAGTGATAGAAGGGACATTCCTCAACACAATAAAAGTCATATACAACAGACCCTCTGCTAACGTCACACTGAATGGGGAAAAGCTGAAAGGTTCCCCACTAAAAACTGGAACAAGACAAGGCTGCCCACTTCCTCCACTCCTTGTCAACATAGTGCTGGAAGTCCTAGCAAAACACTCGGTCAGAAAGACACTTGCACATCCATGTTTATTGCAGCATTATTCACATTGCTAAGACATGGAATCATTTAATAGTCCAAAAACTGATAACTGAGTTCAAAACTATGGCACATATATACTAGAGGATATTATTCAGCCATAAGAAACAATGAGACCATATCATTTGATTCAAAATGATGAATATAGAAGACTTAATGTTAAGCAAAGTCAGACAAACTTTGAAAGACACACACTGTATATCCCCCACTCAATAAGTACTGAATGTCTGCACTCTATGGCAGAAATGGAAAGATCTGAAGATATGATAGTAGAAAGGACAATAGTAGATACCAGAGACTGTAAGGGAGCGGAGTGGGTCGTAGAGAGTGGGTAGGAAGGGCAAAGGGAAGAAACAATTAACAGACAAAAAAAATGTAAAGTTCTCTGTTGGAGGCAAAAAAAGAAACGCACATTCTGTAATTTTTGCTTTACCAAAAAAAATTAATTATTAAAGTTTTTTTAAAGATGTGTTTTCCAAGTACCTTCATTTGTGTGAAAGACCTTGCTGCTCTGAGATAACCCCCAGCCCTCCCTCCTGCAGCTGTCATTGGAAAAGGCAGCTAACCCCGGAAAACTGGTCTGGGGTCAGAAGGAAGCCAGGAGGGGCATGGCATCTTCTACCACCTCTCCTTCCTCTCCCTTTCTCTGTGCTCCTGGAAGTCAGAGCCAGGAGTAAGTGGTCACCAAGGTCTAAGTGCACGTTTGCTTCTAGAAGCATGAGAGCACCACGGGCAAGGACAGGTGTAGGAGTGGTGGGAACTGGGCAGCCAGAGACAAGGCCAAGGCACAGGCGGGTTTTCAGAAGGTTTTGAGTGCTAAGGCTTCAGATCCTTCTGAGCAAGGAAGTTCCTCTCAGGACTTTGTGAACAGTTATGACTGAGAATTATCCAGTGGTTGAAGTTTGAAAAAGAGGATCTTGAGTTCCAAACTGAAGCATGCACACACGTACACACATGCACAGAGATCAGAAAATAAAACAGTACAGAGATGAAATAGTGAGTGATAGAGCCAAAGGAGAGAGTAAGTGAAAGATGCAGAACACGCAGAGCAGAGAAACACCTCTTATCTCATCCCCTGGCTCAGAACACATACTACTCCTAAGGACCACCGGTAGAGAGGAAAAAGAAAAAGCAAAAATCCATGCATCACTGTTCTGAAATTAATTGCAATTCTGAAAGATAAGATATGGTGCTTGCTCACCAAACTGATAAATGGCTTTGATCCTTTGATATAAAACAAATAATTTGTAGTGATTCGAGTACCTTTCCCTTTACTTATAAAATTACAGTTTTTTTTTTCAAAGAATTGCTTTTAATGCAAGAAGATGCATGTACACATGTGCAAGAGACAGAGAATATGCCTCTAATGGGGCCTGGTCATGCCACAATCCTTTCCCCCTCAGTTCCCCATCCCATCAGGATCCTGGGCATGCACTCGCATGCCCAGCATCTTTTTCAAGCCACCAGACTCGGGACTCCAGCCCTGGTCAGTCACATGGGATCCCATTGCCTTTGGCACTGTATTATGGGGTCAGTCCTAAAATATAATTTTTTAAGAGGTTTTGGCCTTAGGGCATGTGTGCTCACTGGAGAGAGACAGAGACAGTGAAAGGAAAAGTGAGAAATCACCTCCCAGGAGGGATGGCCGCACCGCGGTCCCTTCTCCTTCATTCCCCTCCTGGAATTTTGAGTTCTCATGCACAAGTACCTGGCATGAGTTTCAAGTCACTGGGTCTGGGACTTGAACTGCAGTCAGCCAAGTGGGAATCTAGCAACATAATTGCTATGCCATCTGCTGGCCCCAAATCATAGTTTTTAATAAAGTTGCGTGTCTTTTTTCCAGGACACTTCCTTCATACTCCATCGAACGTATCAACTGCTTATGCGCTTTAGAACACAATAGCAGTGCCATAGCTTTTACTCTGCTCATACACACAAGAGCGACTATTTGTGTATACATATGAGCGTGTACACACATACACAGCTTGCGTTTTCAAAGGCTTTGAAACCAGAAGAGAAATGTCCACTTAAAAAGGCACTAGTGTGAACCATTTCTTGGAAAAAAGCTTTTTTATTTGGGAAATTCTCAAGCACCCTTGACATTCTGTAATACCTTCAGCTTAGCAAGACTAAGTTTATTTCTGATTTTGCAACCAAATGCTACCTGTCAGCAGTAAAGAGCAGCTGCTTTTGTCAGTCTGTATTGAATTCAGGGTTCCTAATTTGTTGTTTACTCAATTATTGTCTATTTCCTCCACTCAGTTACAAGCACGATGAAACAAAGATGAGGCTTTTTGCTCACTACTGCATATCCAGCACGTAGCACAGTACCTGACACGTAACAGGCACTCAATGAACATATATGAAACGAGCATTTAGGACTAGCCCCATAGCTCAGTGGTTAAGCACTACATCGGGAGCTGGACCCCACACGGCCAAACTGCAGTTCAAATCCTGGCTCCCTGGCAAGCTTAAAAACATGCCAGGTGTGTGTGTGTGTGTGTGTGTGTGTGTGTGTGTGTGTGTGCCCCAAATCCTGAAGGGATGAAGAGACAGGGGGAAAAAAGATTGTAGCATGACCATACTCCTTTGAGGGGTGCTTTCTCCCTCTCCCTCTGGCAATTAAAAATAAAAACTGCTTAAATGAGTATTTAATAATAGATATGAACAGTAAGCCCCATGTCTAATTTACCCTTTACAGAGCTCAGAAGAATGTCAGGTACAGAGTACTGTAATTAATCCCTGACAGATAAGATCGGAAAATGCTGTGTGTGTGTGTGTGTGTGTGTGTGTGTGTGTGTGTGTGTGCCCCAAATCCTGAAGGGATGAAGAGACAGGGGGAAAAAAGATTGTAGCATGACCATACTCCTTTGAGGGGTGCTTTCTCCCTCTCCCTCTGGCAATTAAAAATAAAAACTGCTTAAATGAGTATTTAATAATAGATATGAACAGTAAGCCCCATGTCTAATTTACCCTTTACAGAGCTCAGAAGAATGTCAGGTACAGAGTACTGTAATTAAACCACTGTGGTTTAATTAGTCAATCGACGATGCATTTGTTTCTGAAGAACCAACAGGCCAACTACGTGACAGAGATCCTCCCGAACTGCATCTCATCACTCAGCTGCTTAGAAAAGGAATTCGTGATGACCTCAAAGAGCTGGCCGATGAGCTGATGCATCCTGAGCCTCGCAGTCTCCCTGCACTTCTACTGTGTACTTGCAGTCCTCGTCTCCTGTAGAGCGAGTTTACGGCTCCTGCCTGGGCCTGAGACATGACTCACTGTAGCCGTCCATGTGGACAGAGCACATGCCAAAAACAGGGGAGGCAGGAGACTGGTCTGTCTCTTACAGTGAGCGATGAGCCCGCCTTCGGGAGAGCAAACGCAGCCCTGTACTGCCCGAGAGCAACCAGCGCTACCTCTGAGTTAATTAAGTCGGGACCTTGGAAACCTTCTGTCCAGCACAAGCCCCAGCCTTGTCTGCCGAGGGAGTTCAGCTCTCAGAGATCCCATATGACACTCTAATTCACCTTCTTAGCCAGTACAGCCATGTTCCTGGAAACCAAGCGCGTCTGTCTGGCTCAACAGACCGCAGAGAGCACCGCGCAGTGCCAGCCTCCATCCTGCTCGCACTGAGCCCTCTCCTCCGCCCTCTCTGCTGCCCACCTGCAGGACCTCCGTAGTCCCTCTCTGTAGGTACACGCTAGGGTAGGCCGGCCTGTCCTGAGGTTTGCTTTGCACAGCGCCCCTACAGCTTGGATGTCAGAAGAGGGAGGGACGTATCCTCTACAGGCCCGGCAGACTGCGAGCAGCTGACCTGGGCTTCCCCACAGTGCCATTCTCTGGGGGCCACTCAGCTCTGAGCGTGGACCCAGCGATGACTCCCAGGGGGCATGAGCTGAACGAATGGCGGAGCACGTGGGTGACTTACCTTCTAAGAACCCCTCTGCCGTCCACGTACTTGCCGATCACAGAGCCCGATCTCCGTTTCCAGCTTGCCTTGGGCACAGCGGTGGCCGCTGTGGCCACCATCTCTTTCTGTAGAGACACAAATGTCCTCGGATCTAGGCCTGCTGATGTGCCCCAAGGCTCGTCCTTCCCACCTCAGAGGTCAGACTCTGCACACAACTGGAGGCAGCTCAGCAGAGCTCTGACCTCCCTGCTGGCATTTTCCGGCTCTCCTCGGTTGCCCACCGGAAGTGGTCCATGGACTTGCCCATAAGCTAATCAAATGAACTAATGCACAGTGTGGAGCCCGTGTTCATCACCAGGGGCGATGACAATTCACGAGAGAATAAAGTCAAAGAAAGCAAGGCTCAGTGCACAGGAAGAATACAAACAGGCACAGAGACCCCGTGCATCTTTAAATGACACTCTTCTGTGTGGCTCTAACCCCTCTTTATTTCCAAAGTCCCCAACATAATGAGAAAGGGACCACCCAGAAGATGCGTGAACCCAGCGCCCCCATCCGCAGCTCCCCAGCTGGCAGAAGGAATTGCAGGCCTCTGTAGGAGTTGGCTCAGCGTAGCTAATTTGCTCCAACATCTGTAACAGAGACCTGGGAAGAGCAGGGGTTACAAGTCCCTTTGTCTACGCTCCCCTAGCAGATGTCTGCCGGAGCAGAGGGGGGAGATGACAGGAAGAGCCTCTCATTAAACAGACACCACCGCGAGTCCAAGCAATGCATGCTGAGAGGAGGGCAGCTGCAGCGTGCCCCGGCCTCCGAGTTAATCTGCAATCGTTATTTCACATCAACGTGATTGTATCCCCTTTTCTTCGACTTCCCTCTGGTGTTCTTAATTCCATTCCTCTTTCAAAGCAGACTGAAATATTAGGGTGACGTTTGGTTGGAATTTTTATTATTATTATTTTAGGTTTTTCTGTAGGGTGTGTGTGCTCTCTGGAAAGAGACAGAGAGAGAGAGAGAGAGAGAGAGAGAGAGAGAAAGAGAGAAATCACCCCACTCCCTAAGTGCAGGATGGGCATGCTGCAATACCCTTGGGCATGCACATACATGCGCCCAGCGTGATTTTCAAGCTGCCAGGTCTGAGACTTGAACTACAGACTTAGTTACGTGGGATTCAGCACCTTAACCACCATGCCGTCTACTGGACCCTTGGCTGGAAGTTTTAAACTATATTCCGTGAACTTATAAAGCAGTTATAACCATTATCTTCAAACAAGCATGCGTTGGCTCCGATCCTGCTCTAGGAGCACCCACAGGTGGGCGGCAACGCTTGCGGCCAGTCAGTGACGGAGATGTGGGTGCACGGTCCCTCGCGGATCTGCAGTTTGTCTAACTTGGGGCGAACTGGCTACTTCATGCTGGCCCTGTTTAGGTCACTGTTCATCTAAGGGTCCAGACATATCTCCTTCTTTCCAAGAACTTTTCTTAAAACCGTCTATGACGCGAAGGGAAGAGGACAGGTAGTCCCATTCTTCACGTGACCATCGTGGTGGCCCAGGGTGGCGAGTGACTTGCCAGGGACACACAGGAAACTCATGGCATGAACATCCTGATACTTGCCAAGTCTCACCTGCAAACCCTGCCCTACTTTCTGCCCTTCAGGGGACACAGGGCTCCTGTCTCACGGGGAAGGTGAGGAAAAGAGTGTGGTTCTAGACTCGGGTTCATGTAGCCTGCAGTGAAGGCCTTGAAATAATCATTGGATTTTGGATAAGCCTGTGGTTATGGAAGCTGGATCCCAGATGGCCAATTGAGGTTCGAGTCCCAGACTCGGCAGCTTGAAAAACATGCTGGGTATGTGTACGAGTGTGCCTCAAATCTCAAAAGGCGAGAGAAATGGAGGAGAAGGGATTACAGCGTGACCACTCCCATGGGGAGCGCATGAGCCCTCTGGCAAAAGCAAACCAACAAAACCTAGGATTTCATGCGCTTTGGGAAGGTGTACAGGCACGGTGCGCAGGTGTGGAAGAGGAGGAATTCCACAGGGTCGAGAAGAACTGACCGTGAGATCCACCATGTCCGGAGTGAAAGTGGTTTTGATTTATTCCACGACAGCATAAAAATGCAAAGTTTTCACCAAGAGGCAAAAATGTAAATGAGGGAAAAGCTGTGAGTGTTTTGGTTTCAAAATGAGGATGACATTTCAACTGCGCCATCTCATGGCTAGAACGATCATTTCTGCACCCAAGAAATGTGTGACCCCCCCCCCCAAATATTTTCGTCTTGTCATGCCAAGAGGAGCTCGTGCTACTTTATGGGAAATTAACTCCCTGTTAGCCGGCAGGCCACCTGCATCTCTATTATTTGCGAAAGCTGTGTCATTGTCCTGTCCACACAGAAAGGATGGAGCAGATCCTGGAGTCAGGACACCGGGCTGGTCCCAGCGTCTGGCTGCCCCTCGAGCACAGTCCCTCGCTCTCCTCCCGGCCCCATAGGGAGCACCGGCCCTTACCTGGAAACGCATGTCCTGCTCGTCCCGAAGGTGCTTGTTTCTTTCCCTGCGGGCAGGACGGGAGTCTAATCAGACACGGAGTCCCCAGCCACGGGCTCAGCAGTGGTTACCCGGTCGGGAAGGCCCAGGGGACTCCTGTATCCCTCTCCCTAGCGGCGTGGCTGATGGCAGAGGACAGCTAGTGTGCACATCAGCACAGAGGCAGGGGCAGACGGAGCGGCCTGTGATGCCCACAGCCCTTCCAGATGGTGCACATCTACCTGGCCCCTGAGGGGTCTCTCCAGAGAGCAACTGAGAGTTAGCTCTGCCAGTGGGCTTGCCAGGACCACTCTCTCTCGGAATGGTTCCTTCCTTCCTGCTCTGCAGGCTGCATCACTCAAGTCTCCTGGACACCCACGACACGCCAGGCACCGTTCTGGCCATCAGTCACACAAGAGAGCAAAGACGAAAACTCCCGCTGCAAGGAACTTGTGTGTGAGTGGGGGTCTCTGCCTCTGAGAACACGCGGCCCGGAAGGAGAGCCGGAGGGAGGAGCGGCATCGAGGTTAGTGCGCTCAGGGAAGGCCTGGCTGAGAGTCCGAGCATCCAGCACACACTGCGGGAGGGGAGAGGTGCTGGGGAGTGCGTGGGGCAGAGCGCGGCGGCGGGGGACAGCAAGGGCAACCCCTGAGCCCCACACACCTGGCATGGTGCGAATGGAAAGGAGGGCAGCATAGGCCCGCAGGGAGAGGGGACGGGAGGTGAGTCCAGAACTTCGACTCTCTCAAGTGAGCCGTAACGCCATGGGGTTGCGGTGGTGTGGGACTGGGCTGGATGACGCTTTAAAGGACACACTTGTGTGGAGGGTACGCCCTCTGCACACCATCTCTGTGTGAGGCTGTAAAGCCACCCTCCGGAGGCTGTGCTAATAAACTGCTAGGGTCCAGACGGGATCTTCAGAAATGTCCCGTGTTCTCGGCAATCTGGAGGGCACATTGTGATCAGGACAAGGACGAGGCAGCGGTGGACAGGCCTGGCCGTGAGGAGCAGGAA